ACCTCCTCTCCTAGGTTCATGAAACGGTCGTCCATAAAATGCATTGCTGTTCTGTTGTAAGTAATCTTAAAGATTCCTAAATGCATCTACTTTCGGAAGGCCAAGTAAAGTGCTTTTGCTTTCGCCTAGAAACACACAGCGTCTCCCTGAGATGGCTGCTTCAACACTACTGAAACCACGCCTTCTTTCTTTGCCTGCACATTTGGGCGGCATTATGCAAATATTTCCACATAGTGAGGTAGACATGTGGGGGCGTGTTAGAATGAGCCGTTTTAAGGGGGCGTGGCAGAGTCTTAACTTTGATAAAGAATATCTCTTTGGTTTTGAGACTTTAGTCTTTGCAACTTCAGGGATCTTATCTATTCACGAACAGCTTGTAACACTCCAAAGAGAAAGGAAAACTTGAAATCGCATCATATGACCCCTTTAACAATTTGGACTGTTCTCAGACAAATATAATAGGCATGACTTCAGAAGATTTGGAATATAATGCGTAGTTTGTTTTTATTATGTTTTCATGGTGGATTTGCATGCAAGTTTTAATTTTATTTCATTCAATTATACTGGTATGAAACAAAACAAAACAAAAACAAGTATTTTGTGTTTATAAAGAGTTTATTTTTATGGTGAGCCTTGCTCTTAAATGAGGCAGCATTATTTCCATGCCCTTGTAGACCGAAGGAAAATGAGGGAGAGAAACCGATATGGAGATTGTTCGAAGGACACAGGCACTTTAAATAGAGTCCTCATGGAGAGCACTGGCGGAGGCTTAGGTGTCACACACATTGTCTCATTTCAGAGAGCCGCAATGTGGCAACAGCGCAACTGGCAAGCGGTTCAGACAGAGTCCAGAAGTTCTTTCTTACAAATTACAAATCAGTAAGAATCGCACATTAAATAGCAGATGAGATGCTTAAACTGTCATCTCAGATTCCAAAGACTTTGTTTTGTGGGTAAGATGATCTTTAAGAGTTCTTGAAAGAATCAGTGATGGAATTCTGTTATAATGCAGGTATTTTCATTAGATTTTGAGAACAATTGCAAACCTTTACTTTAACAACAATATTCAAATGCCTTTGCATTTACTAGCCTTCAACAGAGGTGGATAAAGTACACAAAACAAGTATCGCAGATGGCCTAATAAAATATTACTCTAGCAAAAGTACTCATTTTCAGTTTTACTTAAGTAAAAAACTACATGATTTTTACATACTTAAATATTTAAAAAATACTGATTAATGAACCATGTTTATTATTTATTCTATCCAGCACTAGTCAGACTCGTCATTAGTCAGATATTTAATATGTATTGATTGGCAAATAAGAAAACTTATTTTATTACCAAAGCTTATTTTACACCATTAAAACATTAAACTTAATTATCCTAAATCATCAATTTAAGTTACTGATAATTCAGGTATACAAACAAGTGAAATAACATACCATATAGCACATTAAAGATGAGAATAAAACTAAATGTGTGTAAATATACATTGACAAATATTTAGACATCACATGGGGCAAAACGCATTCATATTGACTGGATCATTGAATCAGTGAGTTGTTGACTCATGACAGCTGCAATTGGATCAGTCTGATTCACGACTGAATCATTCAGTGCGATTTATTAACTAATTCAACAGGTTCATTGAAAAGAACCAGCTTGTTCACGAATCGGACATCACTCTCCTTCAAAAATGAACTTAACTACAGTAAATTCTTTAATAAATAAACTGTTATAAAGAAACTGTAAAGTAGCTGTAAAGTTACTTTAAAACGTAAAGCATTGCAATATTGCCTTAGTCCATAAAAAAGTAACTAATTGCATTACTTAGTTACTTTTAAAGCAAAGTAATGCATTACATTACTTTTGTGTTACACCTTGTTGTCACCTGAGCTTGGCTTCCTTATTTGTTTTTAATAACAAAAAACTAGTACTGTCAAATGATTAATCACGATTAATCGCATCCAAAATAAAATTTTGTGTTTGCTTAATATTTATGTGTATGTACTGTTTATATTTATATGTATATATAAATACACATACATACATGTATATATATTTAACAAATATTTACATGTATGTAAACATAATATTTTATTTTGGTTTTACTAATCGCGATTAATCGATTTGACATGCATGTATATATTTAAGAAAAATATGTTATGTTTATATATTATACTGTATATATTTATATATAATAAAAATATATAAATATATAAATGTATATACATGTAAATATAAAAATATATATATATACAGTATGTGTGTGTATTTATATATACATAATAAATAAACACAGTACACATGCATACATCATGTAAACAAAAACTTGTATTTTGGATGCGATTAATCGCGATTAATCATTTGACAGCACTACAAAAAAACCCAAAAGTTATATTTTGACAACTGTAAAGGCCCTTGCACCAAAAGTGAAATGAATAAGCCTCAGGCTACAGGAAGTGCCTCTGCACCTCATAATTTCTCTCAACACGGGACAGAAGAGGTGTCAAGGAGTATACGAGTAAACAAAGTAACTTGCGATACTTTTTTTTTTGAAGAAGTAACAGATTTTTCTTGTAAATTTGAAAGTAATGCGTTACTTTACTAGTTACTTTAAAAAGTAATCTGATTACATAACTCACATTACTTGTATTGCGTTACCCTCAACACTGCTTGTAAAATAATAAAATGCAACAATACACATAATAGACTTGATAATGTAGTCCACTTGTGGCTGGATGCTTCAAACCAATGCTACAAAGCCACTGCCATGCATGTGGGTCAAAGGCTGCTAGTTATTGTATAGCGTGAACAGACATTTTGTGAAAGTTTCTGTCTCTACAGAGGAAGTAGGACTATCATTCCACTTCCTGTGAGTATTGTCCAATGGTGTGACCTTTGACTCATGCCTCTAGTCCAAACGACGTCATCTTTTGTCTATATGCAAAAAGATGCCGACGGAACAGAACAATGTCTGTTCTGCCTGTGTCCATGTGGGAGGTAGAGGGAATTCTGGGATATAGAGAGCCTTCTGTGTTAAAGCGCATGTTGTGTAGGCTTACCCTCTGATGCTGGTGTTTGTATCACATTTGAATTTCTCTGAATTCAGTTTGCTGTTGGTGCTTTATAAAAGCGCACAAAAACGTCCTCTCGGGGCCTAATTCTTTGAAAGCTCCGCAAAGCCAAGGCGGCTTTTCGCGAACTTATTGAGGAAATTCAACAAAGTGATGCCGAAACGACCGACAGTTATTCATCTCAGATGGACTTAAAAAGGATGGTGTCATAAAAAAAGAGTAAGGTCAATCTAGATCTCATAATAGGCGGCAAGGCTTCAATGAAGATTATGATGAACAGGAATTCTGAGCTCTATCAGTGTGTGTGTGTGTGTGTGTGTGTGTGTGTGTGTGTGTGTTAAATCAAATGACATCCTAGCAATGCCCCGAGGGTAAGAAAAGTATAAAGCACAGCTCCCATGACGCATCCACAGACTAAACATCCAATTTAGCCACCCAGACATCTGACTCTCTCTCTCTCAGTGTGTAAAAGAAAAACATGTCAACAGAAGGAGGGAAGTGAGTATTGTTTCCTCCTTCCTGTGTCATTGTGAATCTGTGTGAGGAGAATGCTAAGCCAGACGGCCTTTTCAAGACTTGAGGAAGGGAAAATATTGTTGTTCTTTTCTTTTCACCAAATTTCTCTCTCAGTTTTCCACAGTTTTCTGTCAGTTCAGGTCAGGGTATCGTATGCCTCTCATTGTCGAGTTCACCTCAGTCGATTACATAATTGACACACTCCAGTTTCAAGAGTTTTTCTTTTTGGATCACTCTGCAAACATTTCCTGTTCAAATCCATTCTGGCACCTGCTTCAAAATTCACCTTTTAAATTATCAAAGCCATTTAAGCAAGCGCTCAAAATCATTCTTGTTCTCACTAGCATTTTCCTGCATTTATTAGCTGATATTGATGGGAACACGTGTCAAGACTTGCCTGAGAACACAGTGACTTTTGAGATGAGGGATGTAAAAGATTTAAAGGCATAGTTCAGCCGAAAATGAAAATGATGTCAATGTTTACTAAACCTCATGTCAGTTCAAACCCATATGCTGTTATTTGTTAGAGTAAAAAGAAGGATTCTGAAGAATCTTCACGCATCTCTTTTAAATTGTTCACAGTTGCCACATCTGTTAAGTTATAAAATTGAAAAAAGCACCATAAAGGTAGTTCGCACAACTTGAGCGCCATATTCAAAGTCCCCCCGAAGCCAAACAACAGCTTTGTGTGATGCAGTGGGCTGTTAAAGGATTAGTTCACTTCCAGAATAAATATTTCCTGATAATTTACTCACCCCAATGTCATCCAAGATGTTCATGTTTTTCTTTCTTTCTTTAGTCGAAAAGATATTAAGGGTTTCGAGGGAAATATTCCAGGATTTTTCTCCATATAATAGACTTCAATGGGAGTTCAAAAGTCCAAATTTCAATGCAGGAATAAGGATCATATCTAGAGAAACGATCTGTCAATTCCTAAAAAAAAAAAAAAAAAAAAAATTTTTTCTTACTTTTTTAACCACAAATGCTCGTCTTGCACTAGTTCGACTTCACGCATTACATAATCACGCTGGAAAGGTCACGCTTGACGTAGATGGAAGTACCGACCCAGTGTTTACAAAGTGAACGTGCAAAGAAAGTCAAATGCCCTTTACAAAAAATGTTATAACAACGATGTCTGAGTTTTTGGGCCTACCCTATCTTTTTGAATTGAAGTACGCAGACAAGAACTAACCACGCATGACCTTTCCAACGTGATTACGTAACACATGGAGTCACGGATGCGCATCGCAGAGCTAGTGCAAGATGAGCATTTGTGCTGTATAAAAAAAGCTTACAAATGTTCATTTTCTTTAGAAAATGACCAATAGTTTCACTAGAGAACACTTATTCCTTGGCTGGGATTGTATAGAGCCCTTGGAAGCTGCACTGAAACTGCAGTTTGGACCTTCAATCCGTTGGTCCCCATTGAAGTCCACTAAATGGAGAAAAATCCTGGAATGTTTTCCTCAAAAAACTTAATTTCTTCTCGACTTAAAGGGAGGTGTCATAGGATGCCCATTTTCCACAAGTTGATATGATTCTTTAGGGTCTTAATGAAAAGTCTGTAACATAGTTTGGTTAAAATTTCTCAATGGTAGTGTAAAAAAACACCTTTTTTACCCTGTCAAAAATAGCTATTTTCAGATCAAGCCGGCTATGTTCATTATTACATCCAACAACAGAACACCTCAATCGCTTAGGAGTCATTCTCGTCTACATCTGCTCCGGCAGTGAAACAATGGAGGACTGATGACAGCTCACTCAGGGCGAGTGAGCTGTCATCAAGGTAAGACACCAGTGGGAAGGGCCTGTCTGTGTGACGTCACACAGACAGGCATCTGAGATCGGCTCGATTTGAGAAAGGGGAAAACATTTAACCAAATAAAAAAAAACCACTGGGTGGATTTTTATCATTATTGGGTGGTTGTGTACACACACTGCCAAAACACATTTCAGTTCAAACAACTTGTAAAAGTGCATGTAGCATCCTATGACCCCTTTAAGAAAGAAAGTCATGAACATCTTGGATGACATGGGGGTGAGTAAATTATCAGGAGATGGTTAATCTGGAAATGAACTAATCCTTTTACTCAAGAACCACTTGGACTGGATCACTGAGTCAGTGAACCCAAATTCGTTTTTACACTCTTAAAAATAAAGGTTATTTTAAGAACGGAACTGGTTCTTTTGGAATCAGAATGATTGTTCTATTGCATTGCTATGAAAACTCCTTTTTGGAACACTTCTTTTTTTAGTGTATGAACTGCTAATCCACAACCAGAATGAATTCATTTCCATGATTTATTAATTTGTGGGCACATATTATTCATTTGTTCCCACGTTTTAATTCAGTCATGGCCATGTTGTACGAATTCATTGTCATTTTAATTTATGTAATGCAGGGCTCTGTATAACTGTCAAGACGTTTATGGAAAATAGCTGCATGAAGATTCTTCAAAATACTTTTTGTTCAACATAGAGAGGAGAGAGTATCATACAAGTTTGGCCCGACATGGGGTGAGTAAATGATTTAAGAAGAGTTTGGCAAGAAGAAAAAAGTACAGGAGAAAATAAAGCCACAACCTGCATAAAGAGAAATGAAAGCGAGCGAGTGTGAGAGAGAGACGGATATGTCTGGAGGGGCCTACTTTTCTCTTTTGGGTTTAACCGAAGAACAGCGGGACTAGAGCAGCCGTGTTAATGACAGAGAGCTGTTGAATGGGATCCAGCGCTTTGAAGAGGACGGCAGCACCTGAGGACGGCCTGTTTGTCTTGTAGCTTTCCACCAATGGCTCAGGATTCACAGCACTGTGTAATGTTTACCCAAACATGTCAGCTTTTAAGGTCGGAGGGTGACGAAGGGGACGATTAGGTCTGCCAGCCCGGAGGAGGACGAGTGTATGAATGGAGCAGAAAATGTTGAACGACAGACAGAAAGAGAGATACTGGGGAGATGTAGTAGCTCGGTGGGTGGGACTGGATAGAAATAGTCAGGAAGAGAAAGAGGTCAAACAGTTTGGAGATGTCAGGGACCACCGGACAAACAACATTTACATCCTCTGTACATCCTTCAATGAAGCTGTTGAGTGAAGAGAGAGGAAATAAATAACATTTCTCACCAACAAATGCCTTCTCTCTTTTACAAATTATGTTATTGAAGGTGTGCATGTTTCTGCACCATTCTATGCCATTTTGTAGCATAACTAGTGTCTATTCATAAATGCGTGGATAGTGGCGCAAGTGCATAGTTTACATAATTTGGGCTCTGAACTCAAGTCTCCCTACACTCTCAAACTATATTGTTTGTATTGCAAAAATTTGAATACACTACAATATTATATTTCATATTCATAATCAGAGACTTCGAGTCAGTATTTATATATTATTCTGTTGTTAATGATTTGATCATGCAATTCACAATGTTTACAAATTGTGACTGAAAATGTGGGTGCTCACTGTTGCATTTGTGGAAACGCAAGTTTGTATCATGATTAAAATAAAATAAAATAAAATAAAATAAACATATCTTGGTCATTAGGGTTAAAGAAGTTATTAAATAAATACTTAAAACACACCTTGGTCATGAAGTGAGAGAATTAAAAAAAATAACATAAAAAAATAAATGTGATATACAGTAAGTGTAATAAAATAAAATAAAATAAACCTTGGTCATTAGGTTAAAGGTCATTAGGTTTTTAATACACCTTAAACATAGAGAGAACTTCAAAAAACATTAAAAAAAATAAAACAAATGTGATTAAAAAACAATAAATAAATAAAATGACCATTGGTCACGAAGTGATATTTTTAAGTTAAGTTAAAATTGAAAATGAAAATGAAATAAATACTTAAAATACACCTTGGTCATGAAGTATGAGAACCTTAAATAAAATATGTACAAATAAAATAAATGTGATATAAATGCAACAAAATAAAATAAAATATAAGCATTGCTCATTGAAAAGTTGAGAAAAGTATAAAAAAAATAAATACTTAAAATAGACCTTGGTCAAGAAGCTAAAAAACCAAATAAACATAAAATATGTGTGACATAAATGTGATAAAGTAATGTAATAAAACAAAACACAAATAAACACTTAAAATAACCGCTGGTCATAAAGTCAGAGAAGTTAAAAATAGAATAAGATGAGATAGAAATGTAACAAATTGTAATAAAATAATGCAATACAAATCTAATAGCAAAAAATCTTGGTCAGTAGGTGGTAAATAAATCCTTAAAATAACCACTGAAGTGTAGTGAATGAAGTAAGAGAAGCAAATGAAATAAAACATATTTACAAATGTACTAAAATAAGATGTAATAAAATTCAAATCTCTGGCCATGAAGCAGAAGCGATGTGCTGAAGAGAGAGGTGTGATTGTGCACTCAGGCATGGAGTATTATGGCCTGCTGCTCCATTGTACAAAGAGGAACCCCTATCCTCATTCTGTCTTTTAAAGGGCAACTATGATTTTTGCCTTATCGCACGTTATGTTGTGAAGCTTTAACTTCAATCACTCCTTCCTCTCCAGGGTGGTCTCGTCTGAAGCTGGTCTTTGAGAAGCTTTGGCCCCTGACCTATAGGAAAGTGTTTGCGAGTTAGTGAGCGTCCATGGAAGAGAGACAAAAAACAGGAAGCGTGCCAACAAAGCTCAGATTGTTCCAGTGGTGCTGATAAATGGCCGGCTGTCATCAAGAGGCTGAGAAAGACAGAGAATATCTCTAATGAACACTCGCACGGGCCTTATCATCAAACAAAGTGGCACAAACGTATCAGTCTGCTGTCCTTTGTGTGTGAATTGTTCGCAGGTTACAGGAAACAATTTCTGAGCAAAGTTTAAGACTGTTGTTTTGGGTCCCCGGGTCTGTCTGATATGCCTTTACGTTCACTTGGAGTGAATGATGAATTGAAGCATGGCTCCGACCTCCACACTTTGTTTCACCCGAAAAGGCCTTGAGGTTTCTCACCATGGAGACTGTATCAACTTCTCCCAAACAGCCTCCTAATCTATGCATCTGTCTCACCCACTTTTCCCCTTTCCTTTCTTCTTTAAAAATATTCTTATGCTCCTCGGCAGGAATTTTGCATTTGTCAAATAAAGTTCCCAGAAGTTTCCTTGCTCTTCGCAGTGGACTCGCCCCAAAGGTTTTTACTAATGTGGTAGATCTGACTCAGAGATTGAAGTCATCATCATCATCCAATTCATCATCATCTTTGTCAACTTCTGACACACCTTAATGTTTTTTGAAGCTGGAAAGTGCTGAGCGCTCTTGTGATTTTGAACTTTCCATTTTTACTTCGGCTTCAGCCGTGGAGAGGATATTTTCTCACACTGATTCTAGGCAAACTGTACGGTAAATGGCATTATTGTAAAGGGAACAGCGTGCCATGCTTTTGATGATGAGCTGGCGTGAGGCAGGTGAGATTAAAGCATACCTGTGCCAGGGTTTGGCGGAAGGAGCGAGCCCTCGAGAGCCACTTCAAACATGGCTATTACATAGTCTCCTTTCTGTTGCTGTGCCTCGACACGACCGGCAGAGCAGTCTAGTCATGTCCTCAGCACTGGATTCCTTCAACACCCTGCTTTTGTCCACGTCCTAGAACATATACTTTTATATATATACCATTTATATATAAACCATTTTTTCCTATTAAAACAATTTTTTTAAAATGCATTTTAAACATAGAATGCTTTGAATTAACTTATTATATATGACCCTGGACCACAAAACCAGTCATAAGTGTCAATTTTTCGAAATTGAGATTTATGCATCATCTCAAAGCTGAATAAATGAGCTTTCCATTGATGTATGGGTTGTTAGGATAGGACAATATTTGGCTGAGATACAACTATTTGAAAATCTGGAATCTGAGGGTGCAAAAAATCAAAATATTGAGAAAATCACCTTTAAATTTGTTCAAATTAAGTTCTTAGCAATGCATATTACTAATCAAAAATAAAGTTTTGATATATTTACGGTAGGAAATGTACAAACTATCTTCATGGAACATGATCTTTACTTAATATCCTAATGATTTTTGGCATAAAAAAAAAATCTATCATTTTGACCCATACAATGTATTTTTTTTTTGGCTATTGCTACAAATATACCCCAGTGACTTAAGACTGGTTTTGTGGTCCAGGGTCACATATATTGTTAAAAAAGAAAAAAAAAAAACATTAGGCATGAAGTAAAAATAAAATAAAATAAAATCCTGAAATATTTTATACTGAATAATATTAATTACTGAATAAATATTAATTATACTGAATAATACTGAATAATATTAATTACTGAATAAATATTAATTATACTGAACAATACTGAAATAATATTAATTATCAGCATGCACTTACTATAGGATTAGGGTTTGGTTTAGGGTTTGTTGCATGTAATTATGTGTCATCCTACAGTAAGTAGGTGTAACAAATAAGGGGTTACGACATAGTTTAGGGGACTTAAAAGTAAAAAAAAAAAAGTACAATATTTAATGTAAACTAAAAACAAACTAATTTATACTTAGTTCTGACTTTTATTCTTTAATATTAATTTATAAGTAGTCTTTTTTGTTGAAAAGTTACATTTCCAAAAACTAGGAACATTCAAGCAAATATGTAAAAAGTCTTTCTATAATTAATCTTTGATATGCTTATTTATCACTGCTGCAAATCCAAAATCACGAGTCTTCAGTATATATATATCAGAAAAACAAACATTATAAATGCATATTTTATTAAATTAATTATATCATATCATTATATTATATTTTATTAAAGGGGTCATATGATGCGATTTCAATTTTTCCTTTGTCTCTTCGCTCCAGGCCGGACACGGCATCACAGTATGGTAGGGGCGTAACAATTCCATCACACGCTTGAGGTATTCGGCCAATCGCAACGCACTGGATAGCTGGCCAATCAGAGCACACCTCGC